CGACGGAGTCTTGGTGGAATGAAGACAGCACCGGGGTGTGTGAACAAATCGTGTCCCTCCCCCTCTCCGGCGTGCGGGGGAGGGAGGGAACTCATGCGCAGGATTCGTGGTGATCGGCCACGCGGCCGGGACAGGGATTAACAAAATGTACGCCACTCCTGGGAGGAGAAGCGGGGGAGTTTATTTGATCAGAGTGTCGGCGGAATGGAAAATTGCACCGGGGGGTGTTAACGATTTGTGCCTCCCCTCTCTGGCCAACCGTGGGAAGTTTAATGTCACAGAGTCGGTGCGGAGGATTGCCGACGAAGTGTCGGTGGAATGGGAAATAGCGCGGGGGGTGTTGACAAATCGTGCCCCCACCCTCTCCGGCTGGCGGGGGAGGAGCTGATGCCACGGAGTCGGCGTGGAGGATTGCCGACGGAGTTTTGGTGGAAGCACGGTTGTTGCGGGAAGGGTCCCGGTGGAAGTTGGCCGGGTTTTTGCCCCGCACGCAATGGGATTAGCATCGGGGGTGAACAGAACCCCCAACAGTGATAGTGAATTGTCCGTTTTCGGTTCTCGAGATGGCGCCGTTGCCGTTATTTCCCAGGCTTGCGCCCGCCAGGTTTGGGCTTCAGGTCGTTTTCACTAAACCACGTTTTACTAAAGGGGGTTCTGTCCATCCCCGGTTAGCAGTGGACACCATAGCCATATTCTGGGCGAGGGGCGGCGGAGTGCCACCAGCGTCCGCCGCGCAGGAAACCGTCTGCCTGCGCGCGCCCCAAACAGGAAGTGCAGGCATTGATTGGCGAGCATCTCATACAGAAACAGCCAGACGATGATTATGATGATAATGACGATGATGATGATGACGATGACGACAACGAAGACGATGATGATGAAGTGATGATGATGGTGGTGGTGATGATGATGATGATGATGATGATGAGGATGAGTTCTGGGTCCGAGCCCTAGGCTCTGTCCCACCTCCCGGACACCCGGTCATGCCCGTAATATTCCCAGGGTGGATTTCTTGGATGGCTTTATATGACTCCGCGCAAACCTCGGGTCTCGCCAACGCGAACCCTGAGGCTTCGAGACGGCCTTGCAAACCCCAAAGCGGCCTAAAGTAGCCTCAAGACCTCAAGACGGCCCAAGAGATCCTCAAGAGGACCACCAAGAGGGCCCCCCAGATGCATCAAACAAAAGTACACCATTGATTGTTGACAAATGTTGTCGCTGTCGGATTCTCCGTATCAGGGAGGGATGCTGAGGACGAGGAAGGAAGGGGAGCGAAGGATGAGGAGAGCTAGAGGTGAGGAAGGAGGATATGGAGGTGGAGGAAGAGAAGGAGGGGGAGATTGAAGGGAGAAGGAGGATGATGATGTGGAGGAGGAGGAGCAAGGATCTTCTTCGAGGAAGCGGCGTCGAGGAGGAGGAGGAGAGGAGACTGGGAAGAGATAGAAGGGGGAAGATGAGGAGGATGAGGAGGAGGACGGCGACGACGAGAAGGGGGCCTGAGCAGACGGATGTTGATGTTGATGATAATGGTGATGAGGATGATGACGACGAGGAAGAAACATCGACGATTACGACGACGGCTACGATGGCGATGATAATGTGTATGATGATGATCGTGATAGTGACGACGAAGATGTGAATGATTATGATGATAACGGTGACGATGATGATGGTGATGACAAAGATCACGATACGGATGATAACGATGATGATGATGATGACGACGATGCTGATGACGATGTTGATGTTGAGGATGAGTATGCTGCTGATGATGCTCATGCTGATGACGACGGCGTAGACGACGTCGAGGATGATGACCATAACAATGTGCCAAGCTAGAACCTAAGCGCGCGCGAAGCGCTCGCGTGATTCTAGTATGTATGTATGTATGTATGAATGAATGAATGAATGAATGTATGTATGTATATATGTATGCATGCATGTATGTATGTAGTGCGCCTGCATGTCGAGCCGCTGATCGAGGCCGGAGTCTCCCTGGAGCAGCGCGGCTTCCTGCGCGGACGCTCCATGCTGGCCAACGTCATCGACATCGAGGAGGAGATGATAGCCGACGCGTGCCTTGAGGACTTCCCCCTGGCGGTCTTCCTGGACTTCGAGGCGGCCTTCCCGAGCCTCGACCAGACCTTCCTTCAGCGTGTCCTGGCGGAGCGAGGCTGGCCCCCTTGGTTCCGGCGCTTCGTGGCCATCCTCTATACCAACAACTTTTGCCACCTTTCACTCTGCGGGTCTATAGGCGCCGGGTTTAGCATCACCGCGGGGGTTCGACAGGGCTGCCCTCTATCCCCCCTGCTGTTCGCCATCATATCCGACGTGGTCTTGCGGCGGATTCGCCGCCTCTGCCCAGATGTGGTCCTTCGTGCTTACGCGGATGACATCGCCCTCGTCCTCCGCAGGGGCCCCGCAGACTGTGGCCACTTGGAGCCGATCTTCTACGAGTACGGCCTCGTCTCTGGCCTTCGCCTACATAGCGGCAAATCGATCATCGTGCCCCTTTCCCTGCACGCGCATGAACAAGTCCGTGCGGCGGTCGCCGCAGCCGCGGCCCGGTGGGGTGCCTTCACCATCGCAGGCCACGCGAAGTACCTCGGTTTTTGGCTGGGCCCTACCCGGGGGGGCGCCTCTGGGATGAGGTGTTCCAGAAGATGCAGGACCGCGCGTGGACGTGGCACAAGATCGGTGGGGGCCTGTTCGTAACGCTGGCAGCGTACCGCATGTACATTCTGCCGCTCGCAGGTTTTGCGGTGCAGCTGGACCGCTTGCCACCGCACTGGCCGCAGATGGAACAGCGGCTCCTCACGGCTCTCTTCCCCGGAGCCCGGGGATGGGCCACCCCAGACCTCCTGCAGCACCTCCGGAGCTTGGGATTCGCATATGAGCTCCCCAATGCGCAGGCCATGGCACAGGGGGCCAAATGTCGTGTTTATCATTGGGAAAACATTCAACATGGCGGCCTGCAACTTGCCCGTCGTGAACGGCGACTTCAACGCGCCCGCTCCTCCTCGGACCACTCGCAGCGCCTCGCCACCTGGGCCCCATGGTTCGACGGCAACTTCATCAGCACGATCCTCGAGACGCAGAGCCGGCTCGAAACGGTGGCGACGACCCAGGGGCTCTCCGTAGATTTGCTCTTGCAAGGTTCTGCCACCTCCCCCACTCCGCAGCAGCGCTGGCAGCGCCGATGCGGAGAGGTACTGTGCACTCGGGACACGCAGGGCCTCTCCCGGCACCTGCGCCGCAGACTCGACCGCTTGCCCTTTCTCATTTTGCCGGGACACCGGGTACAGCGCCGCGAAGGTACCCTCCGCCGCCTTGGGCCAATGGTGCCGCCCTGCGTTTGGGCCGCTGTACTCAAGGCGCTCCTGGATGGCTGGACTACCAAGCCGGCGACGCCGTGTCTTTTTGGTTGTGCGCATGGACATGATGACATGCGCCATTACGCCTACTGCCCCGTCGTGACGCGGCTCTACCGCACACAGCTGTGCCTGCAGCAGGGCCCCCCGGCATCACGGCTGGATGAATTTGTATTGCTGGACAGGGCGCCGCCGCGCACGTTTGCCCTCCGCGCTCTCGGGCTGTACGCGACCTTCAGGGCCACCAACGCAGCGCGGATTGGGAAACCTCCGCCACGGGCGATTGGCCGCAGGCGCTGGCAGACGGCGTGGCTCTCCGCGCACCCCTGACCGAGCACTACGCCAACAGGGCCCGTTAGGGCAACAGCAACACCTACAGCATCCCCTACTTCATCGTCTGAATGCGGTCGTGACGTGGCATCTCTCCTCCCGCCTCCCGCTATTCTCTAGTGCCGTTGGCTTAGCGCGTGCGGTCTCTCCGACAACTCCCGGCACCCGCCGGACAACCAGAAGGGTTGCGTTCCTCTCTCTTTCCCCTCTCCCTTCCTCCCCTCTCTTCCCTTCCGCCTTCTTCTGTCCCCCTCATTCTTTTTCGCACCATTCTCTTGATTATGTCGCCAAGTTGCGCGGCACCCCTGGGAGCATGCCGATGGTCAGTGGGGCGCCCGGACTCTCTAGAGTCGGCTGGCGCTGGCCCGGGATTTGCTCAGTTCTGTGCGTAGTTATTTCCCCTTCGATTATCACCGCTGGGTGCGACTTAGTTCTCCGCCATGCAACGCACGGTACTTGACGATACGAATTGGGGCATTTTCGTATCAGCCTTCCCTTCTCCTCTCCTCCTCCCTCCTCTCTCTCCTGCCCGTTCGCCCTCCGCTTCCTCCTGCCATTCGTAGTTAAGTGGCTTTTAAGTTTACGTGGTCGTTCATGTAGCTTGAACCGGTGTGGCCGACCAAATCGTATGTATGTGCCCGGGACGCCAGAAATTCGCCTTGTGCTTTTGTGCGCCGGAGTCGAAACTGTGTACAGTATTCGCTGCGTTGAAACAAATATGTATGTATGTATGTATGTATGTATGTATGTATGTATGTATGTATGTATGTATGTCTTTATGTCTCTCTCTCTCTCTCTCCCCCCTTTTTATATTTCTATAAACTAAGACCCGGCGGGACCCCCCTAAAGTGGACCCCCAGGATCCCAGGCCCTGGGGGCACCCTGCACGCCCTTGCAGGCGGTCCCCTGTGCTTTCCGACGCTCCTCCTGCTGGGCCAAGGCATTGGGCCCCAAATCGGTCAGGAGGGCGGCCGAACGGCCCCGCGAAAACCCACAGGCCCTAGACATCCACCAGACGCCCGAAGACGACCCAAAGAAGACCCGCCAGAAGCATTCGAAATACAACGAACATTGATATCCGATGGCTTTCGCATGGTTTTGGGAATGCTCAGTTCTTCCGTCTTCCAGGCGTTCGAGACCGCCCAGGAGGCCAGATAATCGCCCCAAAACTAACCAAGAGGGCTTCCAGGCAGTCTATCGGAACCCGAAGATGGCCCGAAGAGAGCCCCATGGTGGCCCAGGATGGCCCCAGGACGCAACCCGAATCACTCCACATCGTGACCCGGTCGTTCAGGAAGACCGCGATTGGACGCAGGGTGGCCCTGGGAAGCTCCCCGAGGCCCTCATAAGGAAATGATCAGGCCTCCAGAAGGCCCCAACAAGCCCTTGGCTCAAGCAACTTGGGATCAAGCGATCTTTGGCGGTGCGCGTACTTGCCCGAGGGGGAGGGAGGCACACCTCTACCGTCAGCGCGGGATGTGGCAGCCATGGCAGGGCAGTGCGGTGGGGCTGGCCGCTGCCAGCCTCGCATGCAGTCTGTGGCTTGGGCAGGCCGCAGGTGGTGGCGGTGACCCTATCTTCCAGTTGAAGAGCAAGAAGCTTGACAACGCCCAGTTCTGGATCATCTTTGCGGGAATGGTCTTCTATGGGCTCCTCATCGACCGCGTCCAGTATTTTACACAGCGAGCCGTCGAGAACAACCGCTGCAGCAAGATGATATTCGACAGGGTTGTCACGGAGTTCATGGTGTTCGGCATCGTTGCCATTACGATTTTCATAGGAACCAACTTGGATCCAGACCTCGATGATAAGTTTCCGTATTGTGTCACGCACCTCACTTACGCTGACGTGTTGGTGTCGTTCGCTGCGTGTTCCCTGATCGGGCTGGGCGCAATATATGCGTGGATGCGGCACCGCACATCGGAGCATTTGCAGGGGTTTGAAGGGGATGCGCACACCGACACTGTAATCCCGAAGATGGGAACTTGGACGCCCATGAACGTCAATTCAGCAGAGTGTCTTCCTGGAGCGGCATAAGTTGACGACCGATTCGTTTAACTGGAATATGTACTTTCAGGAGTCGCTTGCTCACCAGATCTGCGATCTGATCAACATTACGTGGGTGACCTGGCTTGTCTCGTTCTTGCTCTTGCTCCCCATGGTGTTCTACAAGATCTTCATCGCTACAGACGCAGCCAAGACTCCAGCATACATCAACGGCTTCCTCTTTACGACGTTCTTTTTTTGTCTACTCACTTTGGCCACTGTAGTTAAGATCAGGCTTCTCCGTGGAAAACTGTACGTAGCCGTGAACCGGTACCTAAAAACGCATCGCCCAGATGAAATGGACGAGGACAGCGAAGACGAGGACAGCGATGTTGATGATTTGGATGACGTTGAGGAGCCCTTGCAATGGTGGAGCGACTTCATGGCGTGGCTCATGCAATTTGAGTCTCTGAGCGTGTGCTTCCTCCTGGGCATGTACGTCATGCACCTCACGTATAACCTGAAAATTTATAAAGACGAACTGAGCTATGGTGTGTGGTGGTACCATCTTGGCTTCCTGGTCCCGCTCCTATTCTCGTTGTTTGTCTTGTTCCCCTTGGGCTTGGTGGAGCTAACGACTGTCCAGGCTTTCTCCGCGCCCGACCAGGAGGTGCTCCACACAATCGTCTCCGAGGTCCGCCAGGCTCACACAGACCTCGTCTTCATCCAGAACAAGATCACGGGCTTGACGCAGGGCAAGGCGAAGACACTGCTTCTCAATGCGAACGGTGGTGACGATACTGTGAAGAGGATGGACTTAATGAGCCTCTTGGTCTCGATCGACGTACACCTCACGAAGGAGCGCGCCCTGGGCGTCTTCGACCTCGTGGACCAGGAGCACGAGGCCACCAACGTCACTCGTGGAAAGACCATGCAGCTGAAGGTGAAGAACTGCCTCGAAGACGCCATAGACACTCAGGTCCCCATCGACGATCTGCTGGACAGCGCCCGCAAGGCTAAGATGGACGGCAATCAGGGCAAAGAGGCGTGACCAGTACGTCCCCGCCAGGCGGTAGAGTTGTCAGAGCGAGGTGCTTCCCTGGCGCTCGGGCGCAATAAACAGCTTGGGTGCGAAAGACGCGACGCTTGTATAGAATTCCCTCACGGCAACCACTGTCGAATCGACGACGAATCCTTAATGATTCACTTCTAACTATTGGAATTGAATATTGCTTCATTTGGCCTTCGGCTCAAACCGCCACCGAGCCCAGTCCTCCTCTCACCCGTCCTTCCTCCTTTCCCCCTTCTAACCTTCGGTGCCGCCATGGATCCAGGCTGGCTTGCGGGATGGCGTCTGCAGCGTGAGTGTGCTTTACTACGCTGGTGCGTCCATAGTGGCGCGTTGTCTTTTTTTGTTTTGTGGTCGACCTCAGCCACCACTACTCGATTCATGTTACGGGCCAAGTGGAACATGTCCACCGAATCGACACCGTATGTATATTTTTTTCGCGCTGGAAGCCGGCAAGCCGAGTGGCGACATGTCCACCGCGCCCGCTGCAGCTCTTGTGCTCCGCGCAGCGTTCTTCACTTCGGCCATCAACAAAAAAAAAGAAGGCCCCAACAAGCCCTTGAAAACATTCGTGAGGCCCCCAAGAGGCCCTCCTAGGATGAGCCTCCGCAAAAAGTGCTGAGGATGAGGATGAACTCGTAGGGTAGGGCGAGAATACGGAAGATGAAGAGCAAGCATAAGGGAATGATCACGAATAACATTATTTCAACGACGATACCAGGTCCCCGGAGGGGTGCCTCGGTGTCTGGCGGTGCACAGGGGCCCTGGGGGAACTGCATTCCGCCCCTTCCCCTGGATGAACACGTCTCCTGACGAGCAACCCAGCCTTCCCGGCCGGGGGTCCCTCGCCTGGGAGTCTTGTCCGGGGGACTGGCTCTGCCGTGCCTCTCTTCTTGCCCTCCCTGGTTGCGCAGGTCTCCTGTGGGCCCCCCCCAGCCTCCCCGGGTGGGGCCTCCCCCTCTGGGAGTCGTGACCGGGGAGGGTTCTCCACCCACCTCCAAGGTGTGAGCGGGCCCGCGCGGTGGCGGCCCGCGGTGTTGTTTGAGGCGCTTCAGGCACTGACTGGCGCACCCACAGAGCGGAGCGAAGCGAATCAACGACGATACCAAGAACAAGCAAGAACGAGTTATCGCTGAATGCTAGGTTCTACATTCTTGCTCTCCTGCCGGCATGCCCAAGATCAAGGGCCAAAGTGCATGGCGCGAAGCGCCAATGTAGTCTTGCGAATGTGTGTAGCTATACACATACACGTATGCATGTGTATGTGTATGTGTATATGTATGTGTATATGTATTTGTATTTGTATTTGTATATGTATATGTATGTGTATGTGTATATGTATATGTATATGTAAATGTATATGTAAATGTATATGTATATATGTAGATGTAGATGTAGATGTAAAGGTAGATGTATATGTATATGTGTATGTATGTGTATACGTATATGCATGTGTAAATGTGTTGGTACATGTATATGTACCTGTATCCGTATCTGTACACTCACTTTTTAAAATGTGATTTTTCAATGTGGGACCCTGCGGACTCTCCCCCTAGCCATATCCCCGGCGTGCACGGCTCCTGGGCGCCCCTCCAGAGGGTCCCAAGTTTTTTCCGGGCTTCTGGAAGTCCTTGTCGAACCGTGCAAACGAGTTGGCGGCGGTCCCGAGAGATCTCCAATACGATCCAAGATGGCCTTCAGAGGCCCCAGACCCCCGTCTCAAATATCCCCCAACAGGCTTTCGAAACGCAGAACATGTCCGTTGTTTTTTGTATGATTTTGGGCTACTCGGTTCTTCGGTCTTCGTCCGGGCGTCCGAGAACGCGCGAGAGGCACCGAAAACCGCTCCATGATGACCAAAAAGGCTTCTTGACAGTCCAAGAGAGCCGTAAGCCGGCTCAAGAGTGTTCAGAAACTGCCCACAGAGGGCCCCATGACGGGCCAAAGTTGCTCCCCAGACGCCCTCCGGAAGCATTCACACCGTGACCCGAGACCACGGTGTTCAGCATGGTGGCCCGAGGAACCCCCCAGAGGCCGCCAAAAGGCGCCAGGGACACCTCCAGAGGCGACCAAAGAGCACCGACAAAACTTTCGCGAGGTCCTCCAGGAAGCTCGCTTCGGAGGAGCACACATCTGATGAGGACGGCGAAGTGTTTGCGGGGCAATCAAGGCGAGAACGAGGAAAAGGAAGAGGAAGAGGAAGAGGAAGAGGACATATGATGGAAGGAGAAGGAACAACAATATGGTAACGGTGATGGCCGAAATTGCAACCCAAAACGATCGTTGTTTTGGTTGACTTATCTCTATATCTCATGTTGTGTGCATGCTCGACGTGAAGGACCCAGGTGCATGGCGCGAAGCAGCACTGTAGTCTTATATGAACATTTCATACATGTATGTATGTATGCATGTATGTATACATGCATGTGCATGCATACATTCATGTTTGTATGTATGTGTGTATGTATGCAGGTATGTATGTTTGTATGCATGTATGTATGTATTCATGTACGTCTATACCTGCAAACATAGGTATACACACTTATGTGCATGTACACCTGTGTACATATATGTATGACGAAATGTGTGTAAGTATACATGTTACCGTTTATATATTGTAGTGGCGTCTGGCTAGTGCCGCCGATCCGGGCCGCTCCCGATGGTGCTCGGACTCGCTTGGAGGCCTACGGGGCCGTCTTTGGGCCCTCTTGGGGCCGTCGTATACGAGGAGGCCTCTTGAGGTGGTCTTTGCGCTTGTTGGGGGCTTCTCGGAAGCCTTTTTGGCTGTCTTAGGGCGTTCCTGGCCCGTCGGACGCCGTTGGAAGCCGTCTTGAGCGCCTCGCTGTGGGCGCTTCGGGGCCGTCCTGGAGGCGTCTTCGGGGGCGTGGCGTGGCAAGGGCCGCCCGGGCTGCCGACGCGGCTCCGCGGCTGGCGCCGCGTCCGAGTGCGCGACTCTCGCCATCGCTCGGACCTCCGTTCCCCGTGCATGTCTCCATGTCTGGCGGCCTCCTCTAGATGGGGTCGGAGGAGATGGGGTCAGAGGAGTCGGAGGGCACCAACTATACACCAACACCGATCCTGGCCCAGGATCACCCTGGGCCCATGATCGGTGTATATGTCTTCTTGCCCAAGGCAGAAGGGCGTATACACCGATCCTGGGCCCAGGGTGATCCTGGCCAGGATCGGTGTTGGTGTATAGTTGGTGCCTTCCTAAGGAGCGCGCTTCAGAGGCTAGATTGGGCGTCTTCGGGGGGTCCCTCGTCCGCAGTGCCCCTCTGCGTGTCTCCATGGGATTCAGGGCGCGCCGCTGCACCACGGCCGACACGGACACCAGTCCTCCCTCCTCTCTCCGGCGCGGCGCCCCTCCCTGAACTCCTCGCGAGCGTCCGCTGCCAGATACTTGTTCTGGCCCCGCAGGAGCACTCGTCGGACGACTCGGACGACTCGGACGAAATCGAGGCGAGCGCAGCGTCGCCCGTTTTTCACGCCTGGGGGTGGAAAGCTGGGGAGGAGAATTGAGGGGGAGCGGGACGACGACGACGACGACGACGACGACGACGATGACGACGACGACGACGACGACGACGGCGGACGACCTCGACGACGACGACGACGGCGGACGACGGCGGCGGACGACGGCGGCGGCGGCGACGACGTCGACGACGACCGTTTCTCTCGTCCCTCTCCCTCAGACTCTTCCTTTTCCTGCTTGTGTATTTCCCTTCCTCTCTCCGTATCTCCTCCCTCCCTCTGTTCTCTCTCCGTCTCTCGCTCCCGTTTCCTCCCTCTGTTCCCTCTTCTTTCTTTAGTTGTTGCTGTTTTGTTTCCTTTATCTATCTTTATATTTCTCTTTCTCTGTCTTTTTCTCTTTCTCTTTCTCTCTCTCTCTCTCTCTCTATATATATAGATAAAGATCTATATATATATATATATATATATATATATGTATATATATATATATATATGTATCATCTCCATTCGCGACCCCCTGCCCTCTATGCAGCCCTCCCCATCTCCAGAGCTCTCCGCCGCCTTCTCCTATTCCTTCTCGTCCTCCGTCTCTCCCTGCTCTTCCTTCTCCTTGCCTTTCCTATACTCTTCCTTGTCGTCGTCGTCGTCCTCCTCCTCCTCCTCCTTGTCGTCGACGTCCTCCTCCTCCTCCTCCTCCTTGTCGTCGTCGTCGACGTCCTCCTCCTTGTCGTCGTCCTCCTCCTCCTCCTCCTTCTCCTCCCAGGTCTGTCCCTCCCTTTGTCCTGCCTTCCATGCTGCGCTCGCGTGGGAGGGGCACGCGTCGCCACCGCACATCCCGAGGAGGAGGAGGACGAGGAGGAGGAGACGGTGGAGCAGTAGGAGCATACTGATGATGGTGATGGTGCTGCTGATTAGGAGTACGATTCTGATTGCGATTGTGATTCTCATCATCATCGTAATCCTGATGAGATGGTGATGGTGATGCCGATGATGATAACGTCGCTGACGATGACGATGGCTGTGCTGATGCCGATCACGATGATGATAGTGATGCTATTGAGGATGAGGACGATCAGGAGCAGGGTGAGGGTGATGAGGAGGATGGTGATGACGCTGATGATGATGATGATGATGATGATGATGATGATGATGATGATGATGATGATGATGGTGATGGTGGTGGTGGTGGTGGTGATGCTCATGGTGGTGGTGATGAGGATGCTGATGATGAAAGCGCGCCAGTGGATGCCCCTGAATATACTAAAGGGTGTGTGTGCTCGCAGAACCCCCCTCCCTCCCCCCTTTCAAAGGGGGGGGGGAAATTTTCGACCCCCCCCCACCCCCTCCCCCCCTTAGAAGGTGGGGGGGCGTTATAGCCGAGGAGGCCCCTGGAGAGCATCCAGAGGCTTCAGAGACGCCGCAGGAGGCCCCAGCACGGCCTCAGGCCATAGCACCGGCCGACTGCACGGACTCAGGCCCGTCGATGGCCCCCCGGGGCCGAAGATAGCGAAACACTTCGGGCCGCGATGGTTTCGCAACGCCCGGATCTGAGGGTTCCTCTCGTCCCGCCCCTCTCCCACATTTCCGACGTCGCATCTTTTTTTGCGACGTGGGTTTCCAGGTGTCTGGTCTCTTTCCCCAGCGCCGGCTGTTCGTCCTGAGTCTTTTTGTTGACGGTCCAGGGGCCGGGAGACGGCCTCCAGAGGCCGAAAACGGAGGAACAACGTTTGCTGTTTTTTGTTAGCGTCGCCAGGAGGTCTCGGCTCCGCCCCGTGCCCCCGGCCAGCGCCTCCTTCTTCCGCTTCCTTTCGGGGCCAGGGCCGCGCGGCGGCCCCGCGGCCAGCGCGGCGGTGAGCACGCGCGCGTCAACCCGCACGGCCGGGCGCCGCAGAGGAGCCACTGGGGCTGGGGCGGCGCCTGGGGCGGCGTCTGGCCCCAGCAGCTGCAGCAACAGCAGCGCGCGCAGCCGGCGGAGCCGCGGCAGCAGGCGGAGCAGCTGCAGCAGCTGCAGCAACAGCAGGCGGCGCATCTGCAGCAGCTGCAGCTGCAGCTCCAGCAGGAGGCGGAGCAGCAGCTGCTGGCGCAGCAGCAGCAGCAGCAGCAGCAGCAGC